GCTTTTGGAGCGTGAATGGTAGCAATTAACAATTATGATTAATATTTGACTTGTGTGCATATATAATTGGTGGTGTACTACTTGTGTGGGTGATAAATATGTGACTATAGTTTCGCATCAGATAAGATAAGAAAAAGTGATAAGTTTAAATAGGAATTTGGGTCAATATCTGATAGCTATAATTTTTTGGTTAAAATTGATTCCTAACTTGTGTTTAAGGCCTATCAACTCTAGATTTGACCCGATTTCTCCCCCAACAATGGTATTAGAGCTAAGGTCATGATCTAAATAATTTAAACAAATGATCTTCGATGTGAAAGCCTGAAGATGTCGGGAGAACCCACGGATGCCCATAGGAGTGATATAGTCTGGTTAGCCCACGAGTGAAATGGTGCAAAAGTTTATGAATTGGTTAATCCACGAGTGAAGCGGTGCAAAACCTAGTGAATTTCGTGAAATTTGAATTATATAGTTGAATTTGAACTATACTCACAAATTAAGGGAGTGTGGTTTAGGTGATTAATATGTCAGTATTTGTCCCACATCGGATGAGATAAGAAAGAGTGGTGAGTTCAAATAGGAGTTTGGGTCAATACCTCATAGCTATAACTTTTAGGTTAAAATTAATTCCTAACACCTGTTTAAAGCCCATCAAATCTAGATTGTACCCGATTTCTCCCCCAAAATTACTTTTGTATTATTAGAAACGGAAATAAAGAGCTTCTTTTGACCCAATTTTTTAATAAAAATTTTTAATAGCACAAATTTCGTACTAGTCTTGAAGCATAGCGCAAATTTTCACAATAAAAGCGTCTACATCTCATTACCTTACATGATTCATTTCTAATACAATCACTAACATGATAAACACGAAGAGCAGTCAACCTAAAATTTTCTTTCCAAACAAAATCACTACTTGTGATTAACAACTGTTCATTACACAATTAATAATCGTAACCAATTAAGTATTACAGCCGTTAATACATTTCCGCTGTTGCTAAAATTATATTACAATTCATTAAGCATTAAATACGCCCCTCCAAATACAGCGAGGACACGGAAGAAACCAATTTTGCCCCCGCGTCTATTGAGCTGTAACGCACAACGCACGCTACGGGCGCCCAAAAGGGACAACGACAGGAGGGCACTCTCGTCATCTCACTATAGATGGCAACACCGTGAATATCAGCGGAAAGCTCGAGGGACAAGTTCTGTAAATTAAGGGGATAAGTCTGGGCTTTTGGTTTGTTTTCTTGACACGTGTCCCCGCTGTGGGAGCCTCGGGAGGTGTGACCAACCGTTTTGGGCCACGACGGGTGGCGCTCGCTCTCGAACCGCGTGCAGCCCCCCAGAGAGAACCCTTATCCGGTCCTCCCCTCGCCCCCTGAAACTGAGGGCGGTTAAAGCTTTCATAAAAGATCGCTTCCTTTTCTGCGTGTTGTTCGTGAAATATTCGCCTTTATTTTGGATCGACATCTAGTTCTCAAAATGAGGGGTTTACTAATACTCTTATTTTAAAGGATTAAGAATTAGTCTTTCTACTTATAAAGAAAATAGTGAAAATCATTGTTATTTCCAAACACTAAAACTGATCACATGGGCTAAAATAAAACTTATTTAACCGGTTAATAATTTAGTCCTTCATATTATCGAATGAGTTAAGTACATTAATCATTCTCTTTAATCCCTCTTCCTTAACCATTTGCCAAACGATGCCTAAATTTCTATTCTCTTTAAGTTTCATAAATGGTTAGTTTTTAATTTCTTATTTATCAAAAGTTTTACCTATATACTATGCTTTGTTTGAAAAAAATATGAAATAATATCTGTGTACAAAGGAAATAGGATAGTGCTTATAATGAATATTGATAAGTAATATTGCGAAATAATGATATTTTACTTGCAAAATTCGATTATTAGATTCAGGCACGTCACAAGGTTTCGTGAGGATATAGAGATTCAGCAACGATAAACTGAACTCTGTCTATGAACAAATTTATATTAATATTAAAATATTATTCAAATTGGGTCAGGTATAATATTTACAACTCTATATAATAAAAATATTTTTACAAGCCCAATCAATAAATTCACCCTACGTACCGAATTATTCATCTGATTCGTTTGAAATAATCAAATATTCTCGTCCGCAAAACCTAACCGCAGTTAAAAACTATCCCCAATCCCCCTGCATCCCCATCCAGTTAAACAAAAAAATCCAAGCTTTTCCGCGGTATTTACCAACTCTACCCTTCTCGTCCCTCTCCAACTTCCTATAAATCTAGGGTTTGAACTAAGCTCCTTTTGCCAAAATCCATGTCCTCCCTCTAAAAATCCACCTTTTTCCTCTCTAAAAAAATTCTCTCTTCAATGGCGACGTACTCTTCTAGAAGAACCAGCGCCCCCGTCCT